GATTTTATTTATTTATTTGAGAGAGAGAATGAGATAGAGAGAGCATGAGGTGGGGGAGGGTCAGAGGGAGAAGCAGACTCCCTGCTAAGCAGGGAGCCCGATGTGGGACTTGATCCCAGGATTCCAGGATCATGACCTGAGCCAAATGCAGTTGCTTAACCAACTGAGCCACCCAGGCGCCCCAAACATTATTTTAAACAAAAAATCATGTTAGGGATGATGCCTATTTCACAGTAAAACTAAGGCTCACAGGGGCACCTGGCTGGCTCAGTCAGTGGAGCATGTGACTCTTGATCTCAGGGTTGTTAAGTTCAAATTCCACATTGGGTACAGAGATTACTTAAAAATAAAATCATAAAAAAAAAAAAACCCCGAACCAAAAACTGAGGCTCACAGTAACTTGCTCAGAATCATAAGGTAGTTGAACCCTAATCAGAACCCAGGTATGTCTCATCCTAAATCCTATGCCTCTTAACCACTGTAGTCTTTTTTTTTTTAAGATTTATTTATTTTAGAGAGAGAGAGACAGCATGAGCAGGGGGAGGGGCAGAGGGAGAGGGAGAGAGAGAATCTCAAGCAGACTTCATGCCAAGTACGGAGCCCAATGTGGGGCTTGATCTTAAGACCCTGAGATCATGACTTGAGCTGAAACCAAGAGTCAGATGCTTAACTGACTGTGCCACCCAGGTGTCCCTTAACCACTGTATTCTATTGGCTGACTTTCTCACAAAGTATTCTCCGGTTAATTATGGTCAACAAAATACACCCACATGACTGTCAATATAACATAGAATATGAAGAACAGTTGATTATTTTCAGTTTACAATCAGTAAATCCACTCATTCAGAACAATAGTTATTAAAGGATAACTAAATAAATCTAAAAGTCATAGCCCTGAGTACAGAGAAAGAAGAAGCCTCTGTTAGAACAGGATGGCTGTCTATGTACAATCAGAATATCAAGCGGAATTTCTATAAAATCTCCGAATATCCCAGGAATCAGTATAAATTACATGCCTGAGACTTATCCCACCTACAACTGAGTATAATTAGTAAGTAACATTTAGTTGTCATTCAGTGGTTAATTTATATTAGATTTACTTAGTAAAATATGTAAGAGACAGAAAAATATAGTTATGAGTATAGCTTTGGAGTCAGATTGCCTGGGTCCAAATCTCAGAGCTGATCCTCACATCTGTGAATAATGTTAATAATAGTACTTACTTCATATAGTTATCATTGCAAGAGGTAGCTCAAAGGACTTAGCACATAGAAAATATAAATGTTAGCTATTATTATTTTCCTTAACATGGACTAATACTTAGAAATTTTAGACTGTTCCATTAAAATAAAGGTTTAACCTTCAGATTAAAAAATACTTCCTCTTCCAGATTGTTCCCCTCCCTAAGTCCTGTAAGAATGTGCTTTTTCTTCTAGGAATTGGTGACAGTCAAGGATGAGGAAATGGATTTCGCTCATGTGGAAGAAGAAGAACAGCTGAATTCTGCCCAAAGGTACATGGGCATGGATATGAAAGTGGAGAATTGTGGGAGCCTGGTATTCTGGGGTAAGGAAGTTATTTTGTAATGCAAACTGCTTACTGGGACATAAATTCCTCTATAACTAATGGCATCTAAAATGCCATAGTTTTGCTTCAGATCCACAGAGCGTTAATCCCCTAGGAGATCCCTGATCACTCTGGGCTCAGAATTGGCTTCTTTTCTCTTTTGGCAAGTAAAAGTTCACTGTCTCTGGTATTGAAAAAGGACAGCTTCATTACGTTGGTTTTAAGATTTCTAAAGCTATAGTAATCAAAACAGTGTGGTACTGGTGAAAGGAAGATGTAAATCAATGGAACAGAACAGATGGTCCAGAAATAGACCCACACATATATGGTCAATTAATTTCTGACAAAGATGCAAAAATCAGTTCAATGCTAAAAAGGAGAATCTTTTCAATAAATGGTACTGGAACGAACAATTGGACATCCATATGCCAAAAGAAAATCCATACCTCCCACCATACACAGTTACTTTCAATGGATCACAGACCTAAGTATAAAACCTAGAGAGACCATTAGAGACAGTCTTTGTGACCTTTTGTAAGGGAAAATTTTATTAGATATGATATCAAAAGCTCAATCCAGTAAAGCCATCTGGGTCTTGGGTTTGCTTTATTGGAAGGTTTTTAACCTTGAATCCTGGTCTCTTGCTAGATGTAGGACCATTCAGATGATCTGTTTCTTCTTGAGTGAGCTCTGGTAATGATTTATCATCTTTCATTCCTGATACCTGTATCTTCTCTTTCTAATTTTATTGGTCTTCTTAAGAGTTTAATAGTTTTATTGATCTTTTCAAAGAACTGGCTTGATTTCATTGATTCCTTCTGTTTTCTGTTTTCAATTTTATTCACTGATGCTCTTATTTTTATTATTTTTTCCCCTTTGCTACCTTTAGGTCTAATTTTCTCTCCTTCCTTTAGTTTCTTAAGGTAGAAGCCTAATCACTGGTATACGATCTTTCTTCTCTTTTAGTATGAACATTTAATGCTATAAATTTTCTTGTAAGGACTGCTTTGGCTGCATTCCACAATTTTAATATGTGGTGTTTTCATTTCCGTGGTTCAAAATAACTTCTATTTTCACTTGTGACTTCCTCCTTGACTCATGGGTTATTTACAGATTTCCAAATTTTAGATGATTTTCAATAAAATTTGTTTTCAATTTTGTGGTTTGGTTCTGTGTGGTCAGAGATACTTTGTATGATTTCAGTTCTTTTAAATTTCTGAGATTTGTTGTATAACCCGTAATAGAGTCTTGATGTTCCATGTGATAGAACATCACGTGAGACTCCAACAGAATCTCAAGTTCCATGTGAACTTGAAAATAAATTTAATTAGGTCAGGTAGGTTGAGAGTATTTAGGTCTTCTATATCCTTACCGATTTCCTGTCTACTGGCTTCTACTGATTACTGACAGAGGAGTGCTGAATTTTCCAATTATAATTTTGGTATTGTCTATTTCTCCTTTTAGTTTTATCAGTTTTTGCTTAATGTACCCGAAACTCTTTTGTTAGATGCATACACATAACAAATTATCTTCTTGGTGAATTGACCCCTTTATCATTTAATAATGTCCCTCTTTAACCTTGGTAATATTTCTTGTTTCAAATTTTATTTTGTAGGATAGTAATATAGCCATTCTGGCTTCCTGTTTGCATATTTTTCCCATTTATAAAAACCTATTTAAAGTAAGTTTCTTGTGGACAGTATATAATTGGGTCTATTTTTTTTAATTAATTTATTTGAGAGAGAGAATGAGCAGGGGGAGGGGCAGAGGGAGAGGGAAAAGCAGACTCTCTGCTGAGCACAGAGTCTGATGTGGGAATCAATCCCAGGACCTTGGGATCACGACCTGAGCTGAAGGCAGAAGCCTAACTGATTGAGCCACCCAGGCGCCCCTGTCACCAGTTCTTTTACAGAACAAAGACAAACTGTCAGGAGAAAGAGGATAATCAGGTGAAATTATGTGATGTAATTGAGATGTTATCACTACATCAGCAATCATATTATATGAATACATCAAATTACCGTGTTGTGTACCTTCAATTTACACAGTGTTATATGTGAAATATATTTCAATTTTTCTAAAAAAGCAATTAATACCGTGGCCTGGATGAGGTCTTTAATGGAGACAGTGTTGTGCGGGATGGGGAGGGGCAAAAAAGGAGATCTTAGACTGAATACCAAGAAGCATCAACATTAAAAAGAAACAGAAAAAGCCCCAAGCAAAGAGAGATCAGGAGTAAAACCTGGACAGCTTAGAATCACAGGATTATATCCGAATAAAATTGGGGGAAAAAATGAGGGGGGGTGTTGTTGGAGGGAGGCGTGGTCACCACTGTCAAGTGCTGTTGAGAGGCCAAGCTAAAGAATGAAAAGAATCCACTGGATTTGGGTGACATATAAATGCTTAGTAACTTCAGTGAGAGCAGTTGCAACTGACTAGTAGGGAGAGAAGCCAGACTGCAGCAAGTACAGGAGCAAGGATGTGATGAGAAAATGTACAAGAGCTTTTTGAGAAATTTGGGTGTGACCAAAAAATAAGGAAGAAAGGAAGGAGGGAGAAAGAGAAGGAAGGGAGGAAGGGAAGGAGGAAGAAAGGAAGAGAAGAAGGAAGGGAAGAAGGAGAGAAGGAAGGAAAGGAGGGGGCAGTGGTTAGTAGAAACAAAATCATATTTAAAGTGTATGGTAAAAAAAAATAAAGTGTATGGTGAACATGAAAAAAATCTGTGCTTTTAAAAAGGGACTGGAGTGGGGCGCCTGGGTGGTTCAGTTGGTTAAGCATCTGACTCTTGATTTCAGCTCAGATCATGATCTCAGGGTCATGAGACTGAGCCCCCTTATCGAGCCTGCTTAAGATTCTCCCTCTCCCTCTGCCCCATCCCCCCCTCCCCTGCTCTCTCTCAAAAAAAGGGGGGGACCAGAGGGAACTATTTAAAAAGTCAAAAAGTGGTTATTCCCAGGTGATTATTAGAAGTGATTTCTTTTTGTCTTGTACTTTTTCAAAACTGCCCAATCTCAACTTGTGTTTTAATCTTTCTACCCTTCCTCAGATATTTTATATTAACATTTATTCTCATCCTGCTGGCTTACCCTCCTTCCTGACTTGTCTGCTCAGTTTTCCGTTCTCTTACGTAGAGCCTCCCCATCATCCTCTTATTGTGCCTTGTATTAGCCATTTTCCCATCTCTGTTAGTTCCTGAAACTTCCTCTGCCATTGCCAGGAAGCGCTTTCTGAAAACATTCTAAAAACATGTTTAAGAAGCATCATTTTTATTTTCTTTTCCTCTTGCCAACTCAATCGTTTTTTTCTCTCAACACAGAGAACACAAACACTTGTACTTTTTATTTATTTCAGATTCCGAATCTATACCTGAAACTAAAGAATCCTTTTCAAAGCAGGGACTTTATGAAGAAGTGTCACCTGAAAGAGAGCTGATAATGGAGAGACTTAAAAAGGATGAGTCCTGGGACTCCAGACTGATAGAAGCCTGGCAATGTGAAGGCACATTAGAATGGCAGCAAGGAAATCAGAAGAAAGATTTAAGGCAAGTCATAATTAAAAGCAAGAAAAACCCTGTGGAGGATTGTAGTGAAACTGGGGAGAGTTCAAACCCAATTCAACATCGCAACATTTACTCAGTGAAAAAGCCTTGGAAGTGCAATGAATGTGGGAAGTCTTTCAGTTACTATTCAGCCTTTATCCTACATCAGAGAATTCATACTGGAGAGAAGCCTTATGTATGTAACGAGTGTGGAAAGGCCTTTAGTCGGAGCTCATCACTTATTCAGCATCAGAGGATTCACACTGGAGAGAAACCCTATGAGTGTAACGAATGTGGGAAGGCTTTCAGTCATCGGTCAGCCCTCATCCAACATCACATCATTCATACTGGAGAAAAGCCCTATGAGTGCAGTGAATGTGGGAAGGCCTTCAACCAAAGCACATACCTTATTCAACATCACAGAATCCATACTGGAGAGAAACCCTATAAATGCAAGGAATGTGGGAAAGCTTTCAATGACACTTCATCCCTTATTAAACATCAAAGGGTTCATACTGGAGAAAAACCCTATGGATGTACAGAGTGTGGGAAAGCCTTTAGTGACAGGTCGGGCCTGACCCAACATCAGAGAACTCATACAGGGGAAAAGCCATATGAATGCAGTGAATGTGGGAAAGCTTTCAGTTACTGTTCAGCTCTTATACAACATCAAGGAACCCATACTGGGGAGAAACCTTACAAATGTAATGAATGTGGGAAAGCCTTCAGTGACCGCTCAGCTCTTGTAAGACATCAGAGAATTCATACCGGAGAGAAACCTTACAAATGTAAAGAATGCAAGAAAGCCTTCAGCCAGAGCTCATCTCTTACAAAGCATCTGAGAACTCATACTGGAGAGAAACCGTATAAATGCAATGACTGTGACAAAGCCTTCAGCCAGAGTTCATCTCTTATTCAACACCAGAAAACCCATACGGGAGAAAAACACTACAAGTGTAAGAAATGTGAGAAAACCTTTAGTGTGCGTTCAGCCTTTCATCAACACAAAGAAATTCATGATGGATAGAATGTAGTAAATTCATGAAATAATTATGTAGTCTCGGGGCACCCAGGTGGCTCAATTGGTAGAGCATGCAACTCTTGATCTGGGGTTGTGAGTTCAAGCCCCATGTTGGGCATAGAGTTTACTTAAAAAGAAAAAAGTATTCTCTCCTGATTGTGTAGACCTGTTCTAAGTATTACAGGGTATATTACAGAAACACGAGGCTGTGTCATGCAAAAAATAGCTCTCTTCCTTGAAAGGTTATTAAGTATGGGAAGAGGGCAAGAGGTACAGTCTCAAACCTCAAAAAGCTGAAGTAGTGAGGAAAAATCCTAGAGAAACACAGAAGGAGAAAGTCTGGTTTAGTCAGAGAAACAGACTCAGAAGCTAGCATCTGATATCATAGAAAAACTAATAAGAGGAGCAGACTGAACAGTACTTGAGGCTGATGGCTGTCTAAATAGTAGTTTTAATCTGAAGCCAAGTGGGGAGGATCAGGATCCCAAAGAGGAAAATCACCAGAAAGTTTCTCTAGAGAAAAAAAAAAAAAATCTAGGCCCAGGAAATCCTCCTTTTTCTTTGTCCCTACACTCCACGTGTTCACTTGCACATTTGCAAACATTTACACTAGTGCTTATTAACCCTGGATGTACACTGAAATCATCTGAGGAGCTTTAAAAAAAAAAAAATACCTGGCTCCCAGCCCCAGAGATTCAGATTAAATTTGGACTACGGTATAGCCTGGGCATCAGGAATTTAAAAACTCCTCAGGTATGGGGCGCCTGGGTGGCTCAGTCGTTAAGTGTCTGCCTTCGGCTCAGGTCATGGTCCCAGGGTCCTGGGATCGAGCCCCATGTCGGGCTCCCCGCTCCGCGGGAGGCCTGCTTCTCCCTCTCCCACTCCCCCTGCTTGTGTTCCCTCTCTTGCTGTGTCTCTCTCTGTCGAATAAATAAAATCTTTAAAAATAAATAAATAAAAAATAAAAACTCCTCAGGTAGTTCCAATATGCAGCCAAGATTAAGAACCACTGATTTAGGCTCTTTCTGCACAAGGATCAACTCAATAAGGTAGGAGAAGTACAGGCATCTGAAAGGATAATAACAATCTATATCAGCTCTCAAGAGCTCTTTGTGTCTTGTTTCTGCCTTTTCTTTCTGTTGCTAATTATATGTCATCTTTTTTTTGTTTTGTTTTGTTTTACCTGACTTTGGATTCTTTTGTTTGGACCTTTTTTGTTTTCTCTGACTTTGTGTGAATTGAGCTGCCTGATACTTTCTGCTCTGGCCCTCACCCTTGCTAAATATGCTCCTTTAAGCCTGGTTACAGCTTTCTCAATCACTTCTACCTATGAGGATCATATATTGTGCTTGCTACCCATGGCCCAATGGCGGCAAATATTAACTGTAAGAAACAAGAGGAGGACCTACAGACCAGAAGTCAGGAGAGACAGAGTGACTAGAAGGGAACTTGAAAGAGTTAGAATTTTTTTTTAAAGATTTTATTTATTTGAGAGAGAGTGAGAGATAGCTAGCACTAGCTGGGGGAGGAGCAGAGGGAGCGGGAAAGCAGACTCCTAGCTGAGCAGGAGCCCTACTTTGATCCCGGGATCCTGGGATCATGACCTGAGCTAAAGGCAGATGCTCAACTGACTGAGCCACCCAGGCACCCCAAATAGTTAAACTTTTGACTCCAACTGTATTGTTGGTATCTTAGAATTTCCTGAAATTATAATAAAATTCAGTTGTGTGCACAAATTAATACTGAACTTCAAGGGATGTAGGTGGGAGGAAGGGTAGATAAAAAATGTTTCTACATTTAATATGAAAAAGAATAATAACACTAAGGAGATTATGAGAAATTACAGATGATACTGTAATCCATATAGAATATCCATTAAATGATAATGCAAGAAGAGGAACTAAATTACATGTTAAAAAATGTTTAATCCAAAAGAAGGCAGGAAAGGAGAAAGAGAGGCATGGATGGGACAAATCCTAAACAGGTAGCAAAATGGTAGATCTAAGTTCAACCATACCAGTAATTACATTAAATGTAAAAGAAACACTCCAAATAAAACTCAAAGATTACAAGACTGAATAAAGAAGCATGACCCACGGGGCGTCTGGGTGGCTCAGTCATTAAGCGTCTGCCTTCGGCTCAGGTTATGATCCCGGGGTCCTGGGATTGAGCCCCGCATTGGGCTCCCTGCTTGTCAGGAAGCCTGCTTCTCCCCTCTCCCACTCCCCCTGCTTGTGTTCCTGCTCTCACTATGTCCTTGTCAAATAAATAAATAAAATATTTTTTAAAAAAAGCATGACCCAACTATATGTAAAAGAGGCACATGTTAAATACAGAAACATAGGCTGAAAGTTCAAAAGATTAAAAAAAAAAAGATAAAGAGACAGTGAAGACACGAATCGTAAGAAAGCTGGAGTGGACATATTAATACCAGATCAAATAGAATTCAAGAAGAAGGGTATCATCATAGATACAGAAGGACATTTTGTAATGTTGAAATGGTCAATTCGTCAAGGTTAGAAATTCTTATAATGTGTAACTGGGTTACAAATATGACATGTTAATATTATAAATAAGATTTATAATTTTAAGTTATTAATATATTATGTGCCTCACATCAGGGCTTCCAAAATCACAAGGTAAAAACTGACAGAACTAAAGTTTTAAAAAGAACAATCCACAATTTTATAATTAGAAATTTTAACACTCCAGGGGCACCTGGCTGGCTCAGTTGATTGAATGTCTGACTCTTGGTTTTGGCTCAGGTCATGGTCTCATGGGTCATGAGATTGAGCCCTGCATCAGGCTCCGTGTTCAGCAGGAAATGTGTTTGAGGATTCTTTCCCTCTGCCCCCCACCCCATGCTTGCACTCTCACGTGCTCTCTTTCTAAAATAAATGGATGAGTCTAAAAAAAATTTAATAACCCATTCTCAGCAGATGCTAGAACATGTACACAAAAAAATATTAAAGATCTAGAAAAGCTGAACAGCACTACCATCTTGAATTGATTGGCATATATAGAATACTTTATAGAATGCACATGGAACACACAACTTCAGAGTGCATGTTCCCTTCAAGTGCACATGGAATGTTCACCAAGTTAGGTTATACGCTGGGCCTTAAAGCAAGGCTCAATAAATTCAAAGGACTGAGACTATTCTCTACTACATTTAATGAAAGTACAGATCAATAAAATAAGATAGGAAATCCCTAAATATTTGGAAATTAAATGCCATACCTCTAATTAACCCAAGTAAAAAATTTTAAAGGAAAATGGGTTGAAATAATATATAATACTCTTTGACTAGTGGGATTAATCTAGATATCACTAACAAGTAATGGGGGAAGAAGCCTCAACTTCCTAGTAATTAAGGGAAAATACCATTAAATAACCGAAGAGAGAAGAAGAAATAAAATAGACATTGAAAAACATTTTTTGACTAATAATAATGAAGATGCAACATATCCAAACTTGTGGGATAAAACTAAAGCAATGTATAGAGAGAAATCTCCTGCATTAAACTACCTAACATTAGAAAAGAAGGTTGAAAATCCATCATTCCAATTTCCATTGGAAGACAAAGTGGAAGCAAATTAAACACAAAGTAAAAGGAAATACATAAGAAAGAGCAGAAATTGGGCACCTGGGTGGCTCAGTCCATTAAGCATCTGCCTTCAACTCAGGTCATGATGCCAAGGTCCTGGGATCGGGCCCTGAGTCAGGCTCCCTGCTCAGCGGGGAGTCTGTCTCTACCTCTGCCCCTCCCTCACCACTTGCACTCTTTCTTTCTCAAATAAATAAAATCTTAAAAAAAATGAAGAGGAGAAATTTTAAAATACAAAGCAGATACACAATATAGAGCATCAACAGAGGCAAAGATTGGTACTTTGTGTATGGCGGCTTTTACAAAACAAAACAAAACAAAACAAAACTGAAAGAACATGCAAGAAAATTACATGTGGGGGTTGGAGGGAATGAAGTGAACGGAGCAGGGTAGAGTGCCGCCCTTCACTGTATTTTGTTTTGACTTTTGAACCACTCAAAAGAATTTTTTTTGAAGATTTTATTACTTTGGAGAGAGAGCATGAGCAGGGGGGAGGACCAGACGGAGGGAGAGGGAGAGGGAATAAGTCTCAAACAGATTCCACACGGAGAGCAGAGCCACACGGGGCTTGATCCCAGGATCCTGAGGTCACGACCTGAGCCGAAACCAAGAGTCAGACACCAAACCGACTGAGCCACCCAGGCCCCCCTCCAAAAATTTTAATACCCATCCAGTGCTATTCAAAGCCATATCAGATACTGAGGCAAAAAGAAACATATGTATCCCTATATACACTTACCAAAATATCTTACCATGTTTTGAACCAGATTGGAAAAGTTAATACAAGCTCCATAATTTAAAAGAATGACTATGGGGCAGGCACCTGGCTGGCTCAGTCAGTAGAGCATGTGACTCTTGATTTCTGGTTTTGTAAGTTCAAGCCCCTTGTTGGGCATAAGATTTACTTAAAAAAATAAAAATTAAAAAAATGACTACATACCAAGTCCACATTGCCCAGTCTATTTGCACACCATTGTCAACCTGTAAAAACTGGGATGTGATGGCTTCATGGCCCAGGAACCAGAAGCTGGAATAGTTTATTTCCTTTGAACTTCTTTTTGGTGTTTTCCCATGGCTCTCAGTTCATTCTCATGACTCTTAGAAAATTTTCATTTCTTGGGGTGCCTGGGTGGCTCAGTTGGTTAGGCGACTGCCTTCGGCTCAGGTCATGATCCTGGAGTCCTGGGATCGAGTCCCACATCCGGCTTTCTGCTTGGTGGGGAGTCTGCTTCTCCCTCTGACCCTCTTCCCTCTCGTGCTCTCTATCTCTCATTCTCTCTCTCTCAAATAAATGATAAAATAAAATCTTTGGAGATAACATCCAAGTGCACAAAAACCCTGGGTTATAAAACAAGCAAACCACAGCTTGTCTTATTTAAGATCTTGATATTTTGTTTTT